TGAGGCTAGGTGAGTCATGCAAATCAGGTGGGGCCTGGCAACCCTGGACTACTGCCAGGCCCAGAATTGCCAACCTCCACATGGGACCTGGAGACCCCCCAGAATTACAACTGGACTCTAGACAGCAGAGGTCTGTCTCCCTGGAGAAAATGGCTGCTTTGGAGGGTGGACTCTGTGGCATTATACCCAGCTGAGGCCTCTCTCTTACCAAACCCAGCCATCCTTAGAGTCCACCACAAAATCTCTGGAAATCCCCCAGCCTGGCACTGACAATTCTTGTGAGTCCTGGCCCCAAGGCTCCCTCCCTCTGTTTTTCTAATCTCTCACCGTTGATGCCTGAAGCAGATCCCTGCAGAGGCCATTTCAAAAGGTTTTGGGGGGAATTCAACTGCCTCTGAAGGGATTTTTTTAGTTTTTTGATTTTTCTACAAACCCAGGAAGTTTACAGATTATGTAGGAAAAGCTGTTGGGGGAGAGTGAGCCCCCTGTTGGTGGAAATAAGTATCCGCACAGGAAAAAAAACTCTGGAAAATAGTATAAGGATAACATGTTGCAAAGATCCCAAGTACATGGTTGCATTATAGCAGTAAAACACAATTGGGAGAGACATTTACTGTATCACTGGAAACAAATGCATTAATTGTTCCACATACTAATTCTCCCTTGCTGTTCTGAACCCTTCCTTACCCCCCCCCCAAAGCCCTTCCAAGAAGAGGAATAAGCCCCACAGGCCAAATGCTCTCTCTCTGCCCTTGCATTTGTGCACTGGGAAACACACAGTCCCACCCTCAGGCCCGTAGCCAGGATTTTTAAAGTCAGGGGGCATTTAAATTTCTTAGGGGGCACTGGCTAATCGAATTAAAGGAACACCTGGCTCTTTCCCCATACCAGCTGCCACTCGGGCCCTGGGCTGGATGGGAAGTTGTGGGGCCTTGCTAGTAAGTTAGGGGGCCTAGCCCCAAGATGCCCCACTGTAGCTACGGACCTGCTTAGGACCTTTGCCAAATGCATTTTGAGCTAGGTTTAACATGAGAATGATGTATTTTCCTACCATTTACAATATTTTGTAACCTGCAAAATGTGGTTCTTGTGAGCATTTTTGATTGCTGTGTCAAATATGGCTGTGAAAGATTGATGGAATCTCTTGGATAGTGTCTGTATCATCCAGGTTTTTATTCATGTTTTTAGTAGTATAGATCCTGAATCTTTCTGAACTGCTTGACTTGAGCAGCCTGAGCCTTAATGGTTTCTTGGAAGTAAATACCACTGATTTCAGTGGAACTTACTTTGAGGTAAGGCTAGCCTCCAAAAGGAAAACTATAAAATCTAGCAACCAGCAACCATTTTGTAAACTCTTTGTGTTTAAGAATTTATCTTATTTAGTTCATTGAAGGCTATGCATCTGTCTCTTTTTGGTGCAGGAGCATATCTATTTTGGTTATTTTAAAAAGCAGTCAGCAGCAGTTCCCTGGCCAGC